ATTCTGACCAATACTGTATATATATATATATATATATAGTGGTTAAGAATACAGAAGACTGTAGCATCATTTACACTATTTGACAATAGCAACTAGACATTCATCCAAAATTATTACAATATCGTTTGTTATAATTTGCGGTCAGTACGTTTTTTTTTTTTTTTTTAAGAAATAACACTCATTCAGCAAGGCTGCATTAAACTGATCAAAAGTGACAGTAAAGACTTTAACTTTTCAATTTAAAATTTCTATTTCAAATAAACATTTTCAACATATGTTCACTTTCAAAGTTTCCAAAAAATATTAAGCAGTACAATGGTTTTCAACTTGAAAAAATGAGAACAATTTCTAAAGTTGTAATAATATTTCACAATATTACAGATTTCACTGTATTTTTAATAAAATAAATGCAGCCTTGGTGAGCATAAAATATTTTCTGTAACAAAATGAACATTTTAGAATAGTATTGTACTAGTAGTGTCCACAAGTATTAGTTTTATGGTTACAATTTTTTAAATAAAATTCTAAAAGGTAGCTATGGAGGCAAATATCCCTTTCTGGCTAAAAGAGCTGACAGATATATAGCCCGATATGTAAGGAAAACAGCAACACAGCCAAGAAATAAAAGAAACCGAATGGGCTGAGGAGCTTTTGAACAACTCGGGCTGAAGGAAGAATGTGATAACCGATGGAAAAGAGAGATGGAGATGTGCCTGTGGATTTATATTTAACCTCTAAAATAAAAAGCACACGCTTCAGCTCTGTAAATAGCAGCAGCCATGTGGTCAGGTTTTGTATGGTTTTCATGCGTAAGATCAAGCGATCAACATGTCTCCTCTCCAAGAAACACAGAGCAGGGTCTGGAGGGAGGCAGCACAGAACACTGCTCAGATTAGCGTAGCTCAACCTCTAGCCTGTTTTTCTCAGTCATTCACACATTCCCCTTTGGCTACACTCTGTGAAACTCCACTTGATCTTAACTTCATCCAGCAATGTGTGATCTTTCCATCTGTGCCACACAATGGAATACCAAAACTGGACAACACAACATCAAATAATGTTTTGAACCCTACTAGCAACATTTCAAGCTCAGGAACGATAAACAAAGCTGGAATTGTTGCAGTGGAGAGCTTCTTCTTCATTCCACAGTGGGTTTAAAAAGTGATGCAGGATGTCAGTGATTGGGAAAGAGGAGCTCAGACAAGTATGAAAGACAAAGGGCAATAGAAGCTTCAGGAATGTGAAACAGGATCAGATGCAATTAGCCAGATTGGAAGTTTTATGAAGATCAAAAACCCAAGTGACCTTGTGCATCCAAATTCTTGCTCTACCTCAATCTCCAATTCTCCAGATGGATCGCTCCATAAAGACAACGTTCACTGCCAGAATTCCCCAGGAGTTTACAGGGAATAAAACAAGAGGAGAGACAAAAGAAGCAATCCGTGTATGTTTTGTGTACATTCCTTTTGTTATGGGTCCACCATACTTACACCATCAAATATACATTATCATTCAAAAGTTTGGGGTCATTAAGATTTTTTTAGAAAAGGATGCATTAAGTTGATCAAAAGTGACAGTAAAGCCATTTACTTTACTATATATATATATATATAACATAGATGCTGTTCTTGCAAGAATACTGAAAAAACACTATCATGGCTTCCATAAAAATATTAAGCAGCACAACTGTTTTCAACATCACATATTAGAATAATTTCTGCAAAAAATAATATAACAGACTGGAGTAATGGCTTCTGAAAATTCGGCTTTGCCATCACAGGAACATATAAAAAACATTACAACAAAAATGGTTGTTTTAAATTGTAATAATATTTCACAATATTACTGTTTTTTTTATTTAAAAATTCAGTCTTGGTAAGCATAAGAGATTTTGAAGAACATTTAAAAAAAAAAAACTTAAAATCCCAAAACTTTGTGTAGACTACTATCCTGGGCCCCGTGAATTCATGCGATGACTCTGCATCTAATAAAACGCATTCACTTTTTGGCTGCTCGAGTTCACAAGGCCGAGGACCAAACTTCTTACGTTGCCCGCATATTCGCTCCTGGTTGCCAGCATACGTTCCCATATACTTCATATTTTTTTAATAACTCTCAAATTACCAGAATAAATCATTCTAATCAGAGTGAGTGATGATGAATGTTGTTTTCATGTCTGAGAATCAACCATTTTCTGAGAAGAATACAAATCTCTAACTCTCACTTCGAGGAATTCATCATCCTTCAAAGTTGCAATGTCTCATAAAAAACTGATAATTTTCCTAGTTGTTCACGTCAAAGCCCTGAGTTACGACTTCAATCACAAGCATGGGGGGCCCTTGCAGGCGGGCATGAACTGCGGTGTGTGCCCTCCAAAGGATCTAGAAGACTGTGAAGCATGCGAGCACACTGTGTAAACAGAGTGCAATGAATTTCAGATGTGTGCCAGTTGCCTTCTCAGTTCAGTTCAACCCTCACACTCGTGCTTATTCTCTAATACGGCGAATTAACAAACAATGGTAAACAAGAAAAGTATGGTGCATATGGAAAGTCAGGGGCAGCAGGGGCAGACAGGCCCTGGATGATTTCTATTATATAGAAAGATTTAACTGTAACAAATTAGGACACATACTACCGTTCAAAATTTTGGGGTTGGTAACATTTTTTAAGTCTCTTATGCTCACCAAATAGACACAATCATTTTTGTCTATTTTAATGTAATTTAAAACGTAAATTATTCCTGTGATGGCAAAGCTGAAATTTCAGCAGCCATACTCCAGTCTTCAGTGTCACATGATCCTACAGAAATCCTTTTAATATTCTGATTTTGTGCTCAAGAACATTTATTATTATCTTTTACCCAAAACTTTTCGAACAGTAGTGTATGGAGTCACAAATGTGAGATTTACAGGCACAAGTACAAGTAAATACATAATTCTGAGATATAAAGTTGAGAAATTGTTGCAATTTTGAGAAATAAAATTCAAAATTACTAGAAATAATTGTAAGGTATAAAGGCACATTGCGAGATATAAAGACACAATTATGTGGAAATAAAGTGAGAGATGTAGTAAAAATGACCTGTGTAAACAATTTTATCTTATAAATGAGGGTTTGCAGATATTAAATCAGTGAGAACACCACAGAGACGTGCACTAACCTGCTCATGGTACTCGATGCCCATGCTGAGTGTGTTAATGAGAATGGCAATCATTATTCCTTGTCCAAAGTACTTGCTGTCCACAATCTTACGGAAAGTGTCGCACACCAGCCTCCAGAAATGGACCACCTTTGCTGCCCGAGCTCCTAATGCAAACATCTTCTTCTTCCTGTTGGGATCTCTGCTGTCCCGATAATGGGCATCCTGTGTGAACTCATATACACCTTCACTGTCAGAGTCTGCCGTCTCATTCCCATCCACTCCCTCAGAGTCGCTGGCCATGAATTTGGCGCAATATGGACACGTCTCAGGGTCAAAGGTCAAAGCGGTGTCTAAGTTTGTGCCACTGCAGTTCATGAGTGTATCCTTACAGATGATCTTGCCTGAAATGTATAAGAAAAAGCACATGATGCATGGACAAGTGTCTATTTGTTTTAGATCTCTCTCTCTCTATCTAATCTTTAAATGAAAAAATATGTATTTGCAATAATAGCTGGAAATTGCATAACTGTGTGTAAAATTACAGTGTTTGTATGAGTGTTTGTAAAGTTTTCTTAAATTTCAATTATTTAGATAAAATAATTTGCTTTAATCAATTTTAATATCTGAAGAATGTAATAAATGTATCCATTTGTTATAAATAATCTATAAATGTAAAATAATTATATTAAAAATAATTATAAATTTAAATGATCGAATAGACATTTTAGGGTCAAATTTCCAGCAAAAGCAACTATAATGCATAGTGTAACCATGATGATATGAACAAAATACAACATACAAAAATATAAAATAGGGCTATCAAATCGATTAATCACGATTAATCGCATCCAAAATAAGACTTAGACATACATAAATATATTTCTTAAATATATAAACGTATGTGTGTGTATTTAAATATACATATATTCACAGTATGCACACATATATTATGTAAGCCCAAACTTTTATTTTAGATCCGATTAATTGCGATTAATCGATTTGACAGCCCTAATATGAAATTACTTGGTTAATTTTGTTCATACCGCCCTACTCTAAACTCGTCTCATCCAGCTGTTGAATTTCTGAATTTCAGTTTAAAATCCATTTACCAGGAGGACCTTGTGTCTCCACCAGGCACTGTGAGGTGTTGATGGGAGTAGGTGGGATATTTAGGTTGGTAAGAACACTAGCAGTGCAACTGCCACCTCCTGGTTCCAGGATTCTCTGTCTGAGCTGCTCTAAGGCCAGAGATGACAGTAACGTGGGGTAGTTCTTATGTACTGGAGCCGCAAATGGTACTGAGTTCCTCTTATATGCATGGAGAACCGTGGGAGAAGGTGAGGGGCCGCAGCGCAGTGGCTCAAGGTGGCCCACGGTCTGATAAACACTATGCACAGATTCTGCACCGCTGGGGCCCAGAGACCCACAAAAGGGGTCCTGATGAGGGACAATGACAGGTAGCATGAGATGCCCAGAGTTGTTGACATTTCCACTCTGGGAACCGTTGTCCACCTCTCTGCCCCCATCAGTTCGGACACTCCCATTGCCCAGATGGTAGTGATGGTGGAGGTGGTGCTGATGGTGCATGACGTGATGGATGGATCCCTGGCGCTGCTTCTGACGGCGTCTTTTCGTGGGCGGTGGTTCCAGTGGCGGAGAAGCGCAGATCCGCAGGCCTGCCCGACGACCGGCGGCTCGGATGAGGTGGCAGATTTGCCTGGTGCCTTTGCGGATGATGTGGACTAGGTATTTGAGAAGCTCGTCGTAGCAGCTTCCTGGCTCAGAGAAGCTATTCAGCGTGCTGGCGTTGGACCTGAAGCGCACTCTCTGCTCCTTCATAAGCTGGCTCTCTCGTTGCTTGGTCTCAGAGAACTGTGTCGCTATGACAACTAGACAAAGGTTGATCATGAAGAATGAGCCCACCTGAAAAACAGTGGAAGAGACCATGAACAGAGAGAGCTTCACTGTTAATTAACAATATTGCTACTGTAAAAACAAGAAAAGATGGAATGATAAAAATAGCAAGCATAAAATAAATGGTTATTTTCTGTACTAAAAGGATTTGAAATTAACAGACTGGAAGTTTAGAACAACCCCCGCATTTAAAGGTACAGTTCTCCCAAAAAGGAAAATTCTGTCATTATTCATTCACCATCACATCATTCCAAACCTGTATGACTTTCTTTCTTCTGTGTAACACAAAAGAAAACATTTTGAGAAATGTTTCCGTGTTTCTGCTCCACAGAAGAAAGTCAAACAGGTTTAGAAAGACAAGACATTGAATAAATTAAGTCAACTTAAGTCAAATGTATCTGCATAGTGCTTTTCACAATACACACTGTTTTAAAGCAGCTTTACAGAAAGTCATGATGTTGATGTGTTTAATATGTGACGCTGTTAATATTCGCCAAAACCAGTCATAATGGTCAATTTTTTTAAATTGAGATTTATACATCATCTGAAAACTGAATGAATAAGCTTTCCATTGATGTATGGTTTGTTAGGATACTACAATATTTAGCCGAGATACAACTATTGGAAAATCTGGAATCTGAGGGTGCAAAAAAAACGTGGTCCAGGGTCACATATTTTAACATCTTCATGATTTATTGTCAAATTTAGCAGATTTGAGCTGGGTGTAATAATATACAGTACATTTAGCAACAATATAAGCAATCAAGCCATACTTTAAATATACGATATTATATAAAGAGCTGATCACTAACATGGTTATACTGATGAAATAAAAGTTAAGCAGTTGCGATTTCCAATAAAGTATATATCACTTCACATGAGTATACTGTATGTATATGGATAAAGCTGGATATGTACCCAACATTATATATAAATCTATGCGACAATGAAGTTTAGATTTGTAAACTGACAGAATATGATGACAGAAATTAGATTTTTGTCTGAGCTATCCATTTTAAATACCCCTAAATGGATCTCCTGAACAGATTTAAACCATTTTGACAACAATCCATTTCCTAGGCTAAACAAAACATGATTTATAGCATGTTATGGACATTGCAACTATGAATGTTTAAAATATGATTATCTTGTCTTTGTCTTCTGAGCTGTCTAAGCCTGTCTGACACAGAGTTACAGTGACAGTTCAGGTAATGCTCTCATAAAGGAGTCCAGGTCTGCCCAGCTCAGCCCACAGCCACTCACTATTATCAGGAGGATGAAGTAGATGAAATTGTAGAAGGAGTGAGCATCCATAACAAAGTACATGATGTCCACCCAGCCCTCCAGAGTAATAACCTACAGGAAAGAACAAAAGGAGAGGGATTCAGTGCAGCTTATGTCCCATAAGAGAGGCATTATTTTTTATATAAAACTATTTTAGGAAACTTCTAGGTGCATTCTAGATATATCACAAGCATGAAAAAAACAAACTGGTACTAATTTCAATACAGTGACAGACATGCAAACTAAAAGCATAAGTAATCTCTGATTATATGCTTCTGTGATCAGTTTTTGGTTCTGTACTCAAGCATGCATGATGAGGTAGACAGTAAAGATATCGAATGCTCAGGGGGGACACCCTACCCAGCATGCACTCTTCATTCCCTTTGATTAATCTGTCACAGATTAGGGAGAAACGAGGAAAGGCAAAACCGGAAGGAAAAAGGCATTTGCTTGCTATTTACAGGGCAATTGGGTGTGCTAGCAGGATGAAGGGCTGTTAGACAGCTAATTCATTTTTAGATACTAAAAATTAAGCGGCAAGCCACAGAATTGGCCGCTTGCAAAACAAAGATTAAGTCATCAGGCCACTGCACAGTTCAGTACATAACAGTCTCCTAAATATTTAATTAGAAATCAATTTTGTTGTGTTGTAAACATATGAAAAGTGAGATTTTAATTCAATTTGAGATTAAAATCAGTGGGCACATGCAAGAATAATTAAAACCGTATCACCATTTTTGTGATAAAAGAACAGAATAACAATTAATAGAGCCCACTGATCCCTGCAGCTGCCTCCACGCCAGATTCTAAAAAGGCTAATCCAAAATCCCAGGACAAATGAGCTTTGTTATTTAACACAATGTCAAGCGTTTTAGATATCACTGAACGGTCAGGGAAACTGCGGTAAGCACATTTTGGGTTCAAGACAGTAAATTAAGTATTAGTTTGGATTCAATCAATCAGTAAATTAAATGTCACTGTTGGGTCAAATTGCCTCAGATTTTGGTGGCTGTGTAAAGCCATATCTTTACAGTCTTTACTTTCAAATTAATAAATAAATAAACACATACATTTTAAATGCTACAAGTGAATTTAGGCATCACAGCATTTCAAAGTACAGCATGTAAAACAGCATTATTTTTGAGATTAGTGTTATTACGTTATTATCATTTTTAAAGATTAAGCATTAGATGATGAATGTGGTAATCTAAATGTAAAAATAGGAGAAATGAGCATACACAATGACATATCCAACAGCAACTAACACTATTTTTTATGGCAACAATATATTGTGCATCCTTACTAAACTGTCATTCTAAGGCATTGTAAGTGTTTTTATAGCTCTTGGTAAGTCTTCACAGCATTAGCAATAAAAGAAGACATACAACAGACCTGAAAGATGGCAATCCAGGCATAACCAATGTTGTCAAAGTTTATGGCCCCCTTGAAGGGATTGGCCTCTCCGGCAGAGCAGTTGGTGTAATACTTGTTCCAGTTGACGCAGGTGGTGTTGTCTGTGCTATTGTAAGCTGCCATGTCCAGCTGGCACTGCCGGCCCTCCTCGTGAAGCGTGGGGATGGAGCTGCACAGGCGCATGCCATTCTCCCGTGGTTGAGAACAGATAAATGGGTTTTCATCATCATTTTCTGTGTGGTAGTACTTGTGCAGGTCTAGACTGGTAGGCCTGTAGAAAGGATAAAATAAGAATTACTTCCTAAAATGATAGTTTACCACCAAAAAATTTAAATGTAAAAGTGTATAACCTTCCTTTCTTTCAAAATTAGAAATTTTGAAATATGTACTTCAATAAAAATACAATAAAAGGGGAGTGAGGCTTTCAAGTCTCAGAAGTGGCAAAAGTATCATAATATATAAACAGTCTTTTATGATAGCCTTCCAGGTCTTCTACTTAATGTGACTGGATCACTGAGTCAGTGAACTGAACTTGTGAGTGAATCACTCCAATCAAGGTACTAGTACTAGTAAGATTTGTTCATGAAAATCAAAAGAATTCCTTATGTTCCTCACACAAGGCTTATGTATGCTTTAGAAAACTTGGAATAAGTCATATGCACCCCTTTTATGGTTATTTTACTACTTTTTCTCTTATTTTGCAGCTTTACAGACCTATTCCTCATTTTCTGTCAATGAAGTGCAGAGTAGCCAGTAGGGCTGCACGATAAATCGAAATGGAATCGAGATCGCGATTCGACAGAAGCTGCGATTGTCATGCGTATCTTTCAGTGAAGCACGGTTCTGTGATCAGCAGTAAATCTCCATCCAAAGGCCAGAGGGCGCTCTCGTGCTGAAACTCCAAATATGCCTCGCAGAAGAAACCCAG